TGCTCCACACACTGGTCCCCTGGATCTGTGCTAAGAAGGTTGGTGACAAGAAATTCAAGCATCTTTTACTAATGAAACAGATGAGTAGATGGTACAAAACAAGGGAAACAGAAGTGGTTTTAATGGATTGCCAACACCTGGATTTGAACAGCATGCCATGGTTCAGAGTTCCAAAAGGCTCTAGTGGACACATTGGCCTTGGAAAGGAACTTGGACACTAAAGTGGGGGTAGAGATAGGGTGATCTTCAGGGTGCTGGGATGGAGGGCAATGACATACAAAGTCATAGATTTTAAAATTGCCTTTGGAGATCAGTTGATGTTTTTTCACATTTTAAAACAGAAAATCCTGTTTTCTTTACAGTGATAACAATATTCTACTTTTTTGAGCCTAATTCTTTGCATAGAAAACAATCACTGTCAATATTAATCAAGTTTGATTATATTGGATAAACAATGCTCTGGTGATAATAAGAGCCTTTGTATTATTATGGTAAGATCCTTGGTGGTAACTGGCTGTTAAAAATAATAATCTTGACAGTGTCTCTGTGGATCAGTATCAAGGACACTTCATGATAGAKTTTTTACATTAGCTAGCAAAGCTTTTTTCTATATTTTAAATAAACTGTGACTATAAATAATAAAAAACTGATATACTCTACAGTGATTAAAAATAGTAAGTATCAACTTGATATTTATTAAATGCTATTTCAGGCACTTTTTGTGGCATAACATCTTGCCAATAGCTACTTATTTTATCTTTTGGTTTTCTGGGAGATTTATCTATTTTACTATGCCATTCACAATCTATTTTAAACATCACATGAGTTACTCTGTCAACTATGCATCTGAGGAAAATAGGACATGAACAAGTCCAAGTTTTTCACAATATAAAACTTTACTACTGAATAAATAATGACTTTCTTGATCATTCTCAAATTTCAGAAGGGCAGGTAATTGTAAAATGAAATGTCAATTATGAATGAGGGTTGAAAGGGGAGGATGGATTTTTGTAACTTACTAAGGAGAAAGCCAACTTTGGGAAATCCAATGAATTATCTATTCAGATCTCACTAACATATGTAAGTGAAGAACTCCTTGTAATAATAAAGAACTCCCCGAAATAATCCTACAAAAAGAAAAAAGGCTCTGAAGTTAGTCTGGGTACATGGCTAGTGTGCCTTTTTTCCTACAAAGGGGACAGTCTACTTGACAATTTCTGATGAATAAGCATCTATTATAAATATTTTATAAGTCTTTTATAACTTAGTGAAGAGACACACGATGTTTAACAGAAAAAAATATGACCTTATTGGCCTTGGATAAATTTAAAATTTTTTTTTTAATGTATCTGTAGTCCATTTTATTTTTATTTTTTATTCAGGTAAAATGGATTATTAGATGAGAAGAAATAAATGAATAAAAGACTGACTTCATTAATGCTGAATATATCAGGTAAACCATGTTAGTTTTCTGCATTTTGCATCAGGAGCCAGTGGAGAGTTTAAAAAAATAAGATTTACAAACCACCTATGGTCAAACAGTAGCTCTGTTAAAAAGTAACAGTGAACCTTCAGAAAGTGATTTGTGTTGGTCAGCTTCCCATCATTATAATGAAATATCTGAGACAATTAACAAATAAAGAGAAAAGGTTTATCTACGCTCACATTTTTGGTGCTTCCAGTACAAGATTAGCATATTCATTGCTTTGGGCCTCTGGTAGACATTTCTGATGGCAAAGTCTGAGAGTGGTTGGTGGAGCAAACAGCTCACCCACGGTAGACAGTAAAAAAGAGAAGAAGGGACTAGGGTCCCACAGTCTCCTTTGAGGGCAGACCCCCAGTTACCAAAGGACTTCTCATAAGGCCCTACCTTCTTAATTTCACCACTTCTCAATAGAGCCACCTTGGGGACCAAGTCTTCAACACATTGACCTTTAGGGGGCACTTATCCAAATCATAATATGGCTTAAACTGCCTAAATTTAACTTTCTTATCCCACAATGGTGATKATAATGTCTAGGGATACGGCAAGAATTAAAAGAGCTGCATATGAAGCAATTAACATGGTGCCTGGCAAAAGATCAGCTCTCAAAGTGAGCCTTTAAAAATTATGATTATGATGATCTTGTTTTTGGTAGAGGGGATTCTTAGGAGACTGCCTAGTACCTGCAGGTGAATATTGCTTATTTAAGGCCAGGTGCTATTCTGCTTGGTGGAGCTGATCACCTTGGTGTGGCTGGATTTGACTCACTAATTGTRTGACACTGAGGTGTAAATACTTCCCACGATGGACACGGACTATTTGTTTAAACTTGTCAGAATATTGGAAATCTCACATATAAAAAACCTATGTCCCACAGGAAATTCCATGTTGAATTCAGTAAAATTCTAGCTTACTCACTCTCAACTGGCCTTGGTGGTGATAAGTCTCTCTGGCAAAGCTGGGTGGTCAAAGGAAACTCTTCTATGACTTTTGTATTTGTTCTGTACTGTCCAGTCTTTCAGCAGAATTTTATATCTTTTATTATATAAGACTTTATTTTATGGTGCATATGCAGATTCTTTCCACCAACAGGTAGCTTGCCTGAGATAATATAATGAACATGCCTAGGTCATTAATTGTGCATTTAAAAAAAATACAAACTCTTGTTATGGGCCAATTTAAAGTGTGTTTCCTAGAGAATCAACTATAGAGAACAAATTTAACTCTTCTACAAAATATGCTACCACCCTATATGAGTGCTTGTTTTTGTAACAGGAGAAGCTTTCATTTTCTACAGTCAGCACCACATTAAGAACCAGCACCACAATCACTTCTCTTGCTACACATCTCTACTTTTGCCCTCACCAGGCTCCCTCCCCAAGCTTTCACCCCTGGGCCTTATGTAATCCCAGGATGATCACATGTGATAAAACAGGCCCTGCAGATCCAACAAGCCAGCAGAATCTATGCTTTGGCCCCTTGATCTAATTTAGCTTGAGGATACAAAAATGTCTTACAAAGAGAATTGAGAATAAGTCAGAGTTTTGTCCTCACTTGTACCTTGTTTTGTTAAGTCATTTAAAAAGTAGGTGTAGAAACTGAGTCCTGGGGAAGACTAATGTGATAGAACTATGGCACATTGTTCTAAAATTGAAGAAAATTCTAAAAGACASGAAGGAAAGTCTAACGATATTCTGTGTGGCAAATCTTAAGAGTTCACCTAATGAAGGGCGAAGAGGAAATGTTCTACAAGTCAGCAGACATCACCAAAGCTTAAGGAAGGCAGCGTAAGGAACACCTATATATCATAATTACAAACTTCARTAAAGATTTAATATAAAAATCAACCCTGTAATTTAGCATTTTATAGAAGAAAATTCATGAGTTAATCAAGAAGAATGACTATTCCAGAAGAATATTTAAATTTCCAGGATATGGCAACTGAAGTGAATACCATGTATATAGAGCAGGTGTGAATGCATTTCCCTGTGGGATAAAAATAACAAAGGAAAGCATTGTAAGGCTGTGTAACTTTGTAAGTGGAAGATTGACTCTTTTGTTAACCTCCAATGGGACACCTGGAGATTAAAAATCCATATGTGATAGGAATAAGATTTTTTTTAGGATTATTTTATTAAAAATGTAAATAAGGTACCTGTCATTAATAGAAACAGAACTTAAAGTCATTGCTGATGAGTAGAATGCTATTACACTTTCAAATAAATGTTCAGAAAAATAATTCATTATTTTATCTTTCCTAGATTTTAATGTCATATTTGCATTAGAAATATCTACATATTATCTAGTTAATTATATTCATACTAATAATTCAACTTGAAAACAGTATAGAATATTTAGTAGTACACTCTTTAATTATCATTAGAATATATCTTTATACTTGGAAAGAGTGACTATGTATATACCAATAACTGGATACGATAATATTGATGTATATKATTATACTACAATTTATCTCTTCTCTCCTGTCCACTTTCACATTTATTTTTACTTGAAAAATAATATTTTTCATTAAATATAGTTGAAATACAAAGAAAATATTTAAAAGCTTATCTACCCAAACACAGGCAGTCTTAAGTTTTGGCATATTTTTAAATCCAGCCTTAGCTTTTGAGGTAACTCTTATAAAACCAGTGTACAAACAAAAATTTTTCTAATTAAAACGCTATTAATACAAAGACACATGTAAGATGTTAAAACAAAAAACACTGGCATGCACAAATGCATTTAAAAAGGTAAATGGTGAAGTAAAAGGTGTTAAAACAAATTTCCTTAAGGAAAAGTATATCACCGTATAACATTCCYTTCTTAAATTTTTAAATAACCTATTTTAGATTAGAATTTTCAGAAAATCCAAGAACTATATTTAACTACTCATTTCAATGTATTTTCAATATGGCACTACTGAATTCAGAATCAGTTAAAGGAAGGAAAGAGAGAGACAGCAAACTGCTCTCCATTTAGTGTATGTGTGAGTAAAAATATTTAAATACTTGAGTTCATGCTCYCAGGTTTTGTAGTTCAAGAGAAAGTTACAAAGCAATATGCCTATAGATTTCCATAAAATCTGGAAAAATAAAAATCAGTTATAATTCAAGGCTTAAAGTACCTGCCTAGTTGATTACAAATTCAGAAGGATTCCAAAAAATTTAATATACTCAGATCTTTAATCTGTCACAAAGGCAATGCCAACTTTAGAAAAAAAACTATAAACCCTGAGATGAACAAAATAAATAAATAAAATTTGTCTCCAGGAACTTTGTTGTGGGTCTTCAATGAGAGGACCAAAGCATGYTGGGGATTTTCTCAGCTATTCATGGCTCAGCAGGATGGAGTCAAAACCAACAGGCCAAAAGCAGGAGGTGAATAGATAGTGTCAGAACCAATGGAGAGGAGACRTTGGTATTGCAAACAAGAAAAAAGTTCATCTTTCTCATTTGAAATGAGACAGAAGGGGAAGCCCAGGTCCTATTGCTTAACACTTAGTTAGTATACGTACAAACACACTCGGAGCCCTCGCGTGCATGCCAGTGYTTGCAGCCATCACACTTCCTTCCCGTGGCTCCAGGGCGGCATGTGCAGAGTCCTGTGACTGGGTCACAGGGGACAGGCAGTGAGCCATAGGGGTCACACTCACATTCTTGGCAGGAGCCTCCAGGGCTGCTTGGACTGCCAGTGTAGCCAGGGGCACACCTGGATTTAAACAGTGACAAAGCAAAGGTTAGGCAAGTCACATCTCTAAATTATTTGTTTGAGTGTGTGTGTGTATGTGTGTGTGTGTGTGTGTGTGTGTGTGTGTGTGTCTATTTGTTTCATTTTTAAATGAAGCAAAATTGGTATCAAGAGTCAAAATTGGTATCAAGATCAGGAGTCAGCAATCCTTTCCTATAAAGGGCCAGATAGAACATTTTGTGCTTTATAAGCCAAAGACAAAGTCAAGTTTATGCACTGAGAAAGAAAATTTCAAAGTTTCTTCAAGTTGGTAGAATTCAAACCATAGTAATATCAACAATAATAGAGTATAAATTATTTCATAATACAAATCTACTAAAGAGAATAACTAGAAGTCTTTGACATATTAAATTTAAGTTAAATGGAGTTCAGATTTAGTGCTTTCAAATCATCACATGATTGTAAATGTTTACCTGAGGCAGTATGGTTCTTGGATTAAATGGCAAAGAGAATCAGGCAAGGGCTGAATTTGGCCCATGGGCTGTAGTTTGCCTACTGCAGCTCTAGTTAATAAACTTTTCTTAAAAGTTTCTTTTAAAGTTTCTTGGCAATAAGCAAATTGGATTTTCTATTGAATTCTATTGGTGTTTCTTTTTTTACCACACTTTTTCCAAGATGATATTCATTAGGTACCTGGGAAAATGGGTTCATGTTGAGCAAATCAAACACATAGCATTGACTTAAGAAATTAAAAATGAAATCAGATTGTGTGAACCCCAAATGCCATCCCCTCATCAACTTTCCCCCCAATCCATGAATCTATTCATCTGAGTATATACCAACATGCACTATGATACTGCAGCTTTACAAGATGCTAGCAAAGTCATATGTTTCTGCTGTGCTCAGGACAATCTCAGATTACCTGTTGTCCTGGCTAAATTATTAAAAAATACTTCCTTTTCCTCGTTAGAGTGCAATATATTATATATATGGTCAGTGTAAATATAACTAACAGTCAGATTTTTTTTTTTTTTTTGTACTGGAGATTGAACCCAGAGGCACTTAACCACTGAGCAACATTCCCAGCCATTTTTATTTTTTATTTTGAGAAAGTCTCACTCAAAAGTCAGGATTTTTGTTCAACATGTAAGTAAGAAAAGGTCAGAGATAGTAGGCGGTTGGAGCCAAAGGTATAAATACTAATTGGATAATTCTAGACCATTTTTAGTAGCTTGGGACTATGAAAACTTGCACAGCTGATTCTTTTTTAAAAATATTTATTTTTTAGAAGTAGTTGGAAACAATATCTTTATATTGTTTATTTATTTTTATATGGTCCTGAGGATCCAACCCAGGGCCTTGCACGTGCTAGAMGAGCAATCTACCACTGAGCCACAACCCCAGCCCTGCATAGCTGATTCTAAAAGTTCATTCATCCTGTGCTAGTTAGAAAAGGTGAAGGATAAACTATTTGTAACATTAGGCTTTCAGACATTTATGCTTTTGATTGTCATTTTCTTTCCACTATAAGATAACAAATGCTTAGTAAAAATATTATTTAAATAAGTCCACTTAAATTGTTTCTTAACATTTGCAGGTAAAATAATTGTATTCTAAGCAGGTTCAGACTGTGTAAATCTTCAAAGAATTTATGACAAAAGTAATGAGGATAAAGCTTGGGAAGGGTTTCTACATTACAGGGACACTCAAGAAATTTAGACACTTTAAGAGTTGAGTTAAGTTTGAGCAGGTCTTAAGGTGATTTAAATGATTTAAGATGCTCTCAGAAGTGGGATGAGTTTATTTGGAAGGTTACAATAAAAATTTAACCAAGATCTTTGGTTTAATTTAGCTGAATAGAAGCAATTTTTCAGGGAAATATAACTGATCATTTATATGTTAGAGATGATAAATGCAAAGCTTTAACAACATTCAAGAATTGCAAAAACAATTCATACCATTCACATTTGATAGTATATGATCCTGCTCATCTTATATGCTGTATGAACTGTCAACTCTTATTCATTAAATATTAATGGATTTTAGAAATGGATTTCTGTAATCACTCTGCTTTAAGATAATACTTRTCATCATGGTATACCTTTCCAGTCTTTTCTATCTATACACATGCTTTTGTCTGTAGTGGTGATTCCAATTTATGAATGCAGCTTATTATTGCAGATAATTGTGTTGGTGTGRAAGAATGCTTTCATTTACCACCCTGCTGGTGATTACAAGGGCATGAACTGAATATCAGCCTAAGCATCAAAACTAAAGCACCCTGGTGGAGAGAGAAAATATATACCTTTATCATCTATAATCTACATACAAATAATGTATGTATTTTCAAAACAAATGAAAATAGTTTTGGATTTTATATTACAAGTTGTTTAATTGCTACTAATTTTGGTTGGCATGGAAATTGTGAATGCACTGTTATACATATGCAAGTACAGAATATTGTAATTAGAGTAACCACATACAGATTTGTATTTCGAACTCTACCTTATGAACTTATACAAACTGCACTGGAATTTACAAAATTTAAGTCTAATTATTTAATTACCTTACTGTTGTCATTATTAATATAGACATTTCTGATTCTATATAAGAAGATTTTCTAAGTGAGTGATGATAAATATTATTTAATATTAGCTTATCTTTTTAAATTTTGATTTCAAAAGCTCCTAGGAGAATCCAGCAAAAAAAAAAAATGAGTAAAGCAGGACATGGAAAAGAAAGACTCCAAACTATGATGTGATTACAATAAAGCTCCAGTGTTAGAGTGATTCCATAGAGCGTTCTGGATYATAAATAGCATCTTAAAATCTGTTCTGCTTTGAGACAAAGGAAAGGGACTCTTGTACTACTTCACTAGGTAGTTATTGACTTTGAGGCACAAGATGAAGATGAGATAAATTTCCAAGACTTTTTGTGACTCTGCTGGAGAGGAGGTTTTCATCTGGGTGCCTAGGCAAGGTGTCACACACATCACTGTCATACTGGCAGTGTTAAGTAGATAGAACATCAGCTATTCTTCTAAGACAGATGAGGAAATATGGGATCCATCTAGGTTGGTGGAACTAAACTAAGTTCATGAAGCTCTAGAAAACTTTTTATGCTGTCAATTCTGCTATAACCACTATGAGTTTTAATGGTCAATATTATTACTTTCTGTTATGTTAAAGATGCTAAAAGTGGTGGTGAAAAATTTGAATAGCTAGGATGTTAATATTATAGAAAATACGTATTGGGAAGATGTTAGTTACAATCTTACTTTWTAGTCTGGAATTGTATTGCTTATTTTAACATTTGTTATATATTTAGAATTCAATTTAATATCTACACATTTGCCTTAGTAGATCCTATAAATTACTACTGTAAGAAGCAGCATGTAAATAACATTGTTTACTGTTGAATACGGGGAATGAACAGCATCTCATTGTTTGAATAGTATACTAATTAAAAATGCTGACACCATTTACATTCTGAGTTAGCCATATACTTGCCAATAAAGGGTCACTGGGCTAAGAACAAATGATGTGTGTGCAGTTATCRTTATAGTATTTTGAAGACAAYAGTGAACTAAAATGAGAAATATGTAGCCASTGAACTAAAATGAGAAATATGTAGCCAGGTTTTTATTATTGGACACTACTGATAAGCTTTTTGAAAACCAATTTATTTGTTAGTATAAAATTTATAAAATAAATTTATAAAATTTGTGCCTATTTATACATTTATATCTCTATATATTTACTAAAACCTAAATTAGTTGTGAAATGATTTGGAGCTTTAAGGAAATCTAAAGTTAGATAGAAGTAAACTTTCTCCAGAAAAAGTMTAAAGATATAAAAATAGTTTTGTAAGCATCTAATTTAAACAACTAGAAAAAATGAAAATAATGAAATTATTGAAATATGGGCTTCTCTGTGGTGACCCTTAGCTATGTAACCTCCATGTGTCGTGACTGCTAGTACCTTTCACAGTATTGGCCTTCATATCCCCGTGGACAAGCTGTGCAGCGGTAATCATCAATGCCTTGGATGACGCAAGAAGGGCTGAAACTGAATCAGAAAAAGAAATATTATGAAAATATTTTTTTTACTCATTTATTTCAAGGTGGTTGGTTCATATTTCTAAGGTAATGACAAAGGTCATATTTTAATCATTGGTAAAGTTCCTATTTAAGGGTAGGGTGTCACAAATGTTACTAATAATAGTAAATAAATCTTGGTTGGTGTTTGATGAATTACACTAAACATGTCAATATTTTGGAATTTCAATGATTACATAATAGCCATGAAAATATTAGGCAAAAGAGTCCCCTTGCTCACTAATCAAAAGATAAATTGGACTAGAATTTATGCATATCTCTCTGATAGAATAGGCATTGCTGAATGTCTCTCAGGTTAAAGTAAAGAAGAGGGCATAAAAGCTATATATACATATCGTGTGTGTATGTATGTGTGTGTGTGTGTGTGTGTGTGTGTGTGTGTATTTTTTTTTTCTGAAAGCTCAGTTCAAATTACCCCTGGTACTTCAAACACATGAAGTATGAATAAACATTTCAGTTGTAATAAGTGCGCTTTTTCTAATTGACATCCAGATTCCAAACTACATATTACATTAAACACTAAGTAATGTGATTAGTATGAGCACAAGAAGAAAAGAAAGCCTTCTATAAGAAAATGAATACAATTTACTCATCATTTTACAGAATTTTCTAATTATTAGGTCTTCTATAACTTGTTTTCACTACAATGCTGGTAGGCCACAGCCTGTCTGCCTTGCTCCAGGATTTTTCTGGTTATCTTACTGTATAATAGAAAGACTTGAAGAGACTTGAAAACCAAACTGTATTATCATGTAGCTTTGAGTTGTTATAAACTTCTTTCAAACAGGAAAGTGCTACATTTCAATTGAATAAAACTATTTGATTCATTAGAAACTTAGGAAAAGAAAACTTATTTGTTGCAAAACATCAATGCTGGAAATACCGTTTTTCATTTTGGTTGATCTGCAAAACCACTTGATGCTAAAAAGGCAGTAATGACAGAGACAAAGGCCATGCTCTTTGGGTCAGGTGCCAATAGGACCCTATTTTAACTATCTTTTAATGCATTAAATCAATAGTATAAGAATGAATGATAAACTCTTTCGCAAACTATGTAAACGAATGAATTTAGTACTAGCAAACTAATTATTCAAGACTATTTTTTTTTGTTTTCATGAAAAATAGAACCACAAACTCATAATTGACACAGTCTGTCAAGTGTTTAGCTCTTKAAGACTTGATGCCAAATGCATCTGTTTGTACATACACACACAAACTCATATACATATATAGGCCCAAGGAAATAGATTTTGGACATTTTAAGTGCAAACCTAGATTACATTCATTTACAGTAATATAATATTACCAAAAATAAAGTACTCAGAAAGTAAATAACTAGTGTGCTATAGAGGAATGAATGAAGCACCACATAGGAGTGTAGTAAATCTCCTTGGAGAGTGGATACCATCTTGGAATTACAGTACTCTGATGGATCGTGCTTTCTCCTTAAATCACATAAAAAGGCTTCTGAAGAAGGAAGTAGGAATCATAATTTGCCTGAGGTTAGAGTTGATTCTTTTTGTTCATACCTCCCTTGTCTGCTCTCAATTCTCATTTCATTGACAGAACCACTTAACAAGCCTTGTGTTTTTTTTCTTGGTGACCACCCTTTACCTTTCCCTGTGGTGATTCCAAACTCCCTTCAACAGAATTTTTGACATTTACAGAGTCTCTTCCTGTGTCACTCTGTGTGGACTCTACAGAGAGGAACTGGCTCCCTAGAAACAACCTCCTTAGTTTTGATCCCAGTTCAGTTGTTTCTCCTTTTAATTTCCTTTGCTGGATCTACATCATGTCCTTGATCTCCTAATGAGCTTCCAAGTTCTGTTTTCAGATTTCTCCTCCTCTCTCCTTTCTTCTCTGACAATTTCATCCATTCTCAATGTCTTTACATATTGAATTTACATTGACAGATCTAAAACTGAGCCCCCTCTCCTCTAAAAAATATACCTGATTTTTCTATAATTATCTCCATCTTRGTCAAAGGTCATTCTGTGCTTCTATTTGCTATGCCAAAAACCAYGGGGTCAACTTTGTCTTCTTATTTCTCTCACACACCACATAAATTTTATCTGTAAATGTCACTGGTGCTACTATCAGAAATATCATCACTGCATTGTCCTGGACCAGCCCACCCCTTGCCATTGGAAGACAGTTTGCYTTCTGTGTGTTTAATTTTTATTTTTTATTTTTACATAACACAATACCTTTATTTGTTTATTTACTTACTTATTTATTTATGTGGTGCTGAGGATCAAACCCAGTGCCTCACACATGCAAGGTAGCCTCTCTACCACTGAGCCACAACCCCAGACCCTGACTTCTGTATCTTTAGTTACCCATTGGAGCTTGCTGATTTCATCATTGCCAACTCTCTTACTCATTTTCTCTACTCCTTTCCTGTTGACCTCTGCTGTCTGCTGGGCATGGGGCAGAAGGATCTGTCTCTGGGCCTGGGCATTTGCTTTACCTCTGGCTGGATGCTCTTCTTGCAAATATTCAAATGGTTTGCTCCATTGTTTCATTTGAGTCTCTACATAAACCCCATCTTTCTGTAGAGGTCACTGACCACCCTATGTAAAATTGTACTGCAGTCACTTTATATTCACCGAGGCTGCTTTATTTTTCACGGCAGTATTTGTCACCACCTGACATTACATTATCTATCTATTTATTTATTGTCTTACTTATGAAAAATGTAAGATCGGGGAGAGTAGGAAACTTGGATTATTCTGTTCACCTATCAATTCCCAGCATGAAGAACCATGTCTGGCATTGAGTTGTACCATCATTAAATATTTGTGAAGGTAGAAACACAATAGTATCTTTACCTTCAGTAAAGTTACAAGTGTATATCAGATGGACATATACAAATACAAGACAGGACATATGTATCTCTCTTATTCAGGATGTCAAGATGCAGTACTTACTACTTAGTGTTTAATTTCTGAAAGCCCTTTTGAATGAAGCAAAGATATGAGATAAAATGCATTAGTAGTAAATGAAAGTACAAAGAACATGCTCTGCTGTTCTGTGGGGGAAGTGGCACTTGAACTGGGCCTTTAAGAATGGATTAGATTCCACAGGAATCATCTCAGGGAATAGCAAGGACAAAGACTGTTGAGCATGTTCAGAAAAGAGCAGGAATCTCCAGACTTGGCATCATGAGAAAAGGAACAGAGGGCACTGAGCCTGGAATGGTGAGTCAGTGACCAATCTCCATTCCTTCCTACCCTTTGTTTCACTCAGCTGTACAAATCGAAGGCACTAAAATGAGAAATTGCAACCCATCCCACGTGTACCTGGAATCTTTTTTTTATATATTGGGAAGATGTGCCTCTCTTCTTTGCCCTGGCTGATTTCTGTCTTTTGCCTTTTAATCCTTCTTTTTTCACCATATGTAGATATTTGAATTAGACTAGACATTCCAGGCTTTAGGTGATGGGTATTAGTGGGTCATGAAATCAGCTTAGTGGCTTTTGACTAAAACTTTTCCAAAAATGTGAGATAATAAAATGAAATAAATGGTTGGGCATATAATGTATCTTTTTGAGTATCTGCACACATGTCTTTGAATGCTAGGCTATAATATAAGAAAAAAGTATTTCTCACAATGATTTGATCAAGAAAGTTTGAAAGGCACTGGAATAAGCCACTTTCACTTGGTATTATGATTCTTTTAGGGTCCTTTGAATAGAGATTATACTTTAGTTACATAAATAATATAAGCTAAAAATAAAACAAATGAAAATGTACCATTGAATTGATTGTTCTAACCAACCAAAGTAATATTTTCCTTGTTATTATGAAGTTCGACATTTCTTAAAACTTCAAATTCAAGCTCTTGTGTCTTAATGACTGCTTCCATTCTTGCTGCTAGTTCATCTGCCACCACACTGAAGCTGTCTCATATGAGGGAGCAGCGCTGGGTGTTTGTTGACTGATATTCCTCATTCCCTTGCTGTCTGCGACAACTGCCTGGATTCTTGTCTCCCTGCCTGTTCCTGCCTTGCCTCCCCATTTTCTTTAGTGATTCCCCACAAAGGAAGTCCTGTCTTTGCTTCTCTCCATGTGTTCTCCAGGGATACTATTAGCCAGGGCAACCTGATCTGACAAACTCATTTATTAACATATTTCTTCCTTCATCTGCTCCTGCAATTTTCAGATTCCTACTTCTTACAGATATTTGCATATTTCCATTCACACAGACTCTTAACATCAATTTAAACCTATTTAAAGTATAAATGGCCTTTCTTCTGTAGCACCTGTCTCCTAATTTTCCTATTTCAATTCATAGTTCCACCATTTGGGGGTCAACCTGGCTAAAGTCTTCAGCCTTCAACTCCTTTCTAGACCTCATCCCTCACATGGAGTTATCAATTCTACAGACCTATGTTTAACAATTTTCTCATATTCATTCCTTGTCTCCATTCTTGTTACTGTTCTAATTATCTTTTGTCCAGGTTACTGCATTAGCCCTTTAATTGGTCTCCCCGATTTTCTTTTTTGCCTGTTTCAATTCATTATGCTCAATTGTCTCATAATAGTCTTCCTCAAATGTGGCTCTGATCATATTAACCTTTTCTTAAAAATAAAAAAAACTTACAGTTTTTCATAATATATAAAATTAAAATTAATTTCTATAGTGGTATTTGAGAATTTCTATAATATGGCCTCTATTTTCTTGTTCATTTTCATCTGTAATTAAGAAATTCTATCCAAATTTCATGCTCCAAACTCTATTACTTACTAGCTTTTCAATATGCCTTGTACACTGTGTTTTCTAGGCTTCTGCTCATATAATTTCCTACCATTCCCAACAGTAAAAACCCTTCAGTCTACTATTGATGATCCCTTACACAATGACTACTTCTTTTAATGTGTTCTTGAAACTCCCCCAAATAATTACAGTGTTTTAAGCTTTTWAATTCTCTTAACATTTAAGTTGATGTCTCTTAAGACACATGTTTAATAAGGAGCAACCCCAGGAGATGGTAGCTTCTCCTTTATAGTCTCTGTAGCTTTTCTTATAGTGTATCCAAACAGAGAAAAATTAATTAACTATTGATTATTTTTTCTAATTCAAATGGTTCACATTTTAAGAAACAAGGGAATAAATAGCATCCCCTTATTTAAATATGAGTATCAGAGGGAGATTAGGAAAAGGGAAAGCAGAATAATATTATGTTTCATATACCTATCAATTCCTGCTTGCATGAAAATAAGATTATGCATATTATCCTCATCAGTAGCCAATGTATCCCAAAGTTTATATTTAACACCCTAAAAAGGCCTGGAATTATGGTCAACAAGGAAGAGAAGTTTTCAGAAGAAAAGGAAACAAGTTATACAAAAATGTTTTCAGAATATGCCTAAAGCTGAAATGTAGAGGCAAAGCAAACAGGCCCAGGTGGCATGGCAGCCACTTGGAATCTTTCTGTATCTGTTTTATGCTAGAGGCCAAGTGTCCAGAATTCTAATTCTGAACAAACTGATATACCTTTCTTTTTAAACCAACCAAATTCTTAAAGAAAAAATTTGAAGTGAATACTGAAGTCTATAAATCACTTATAGTATAGATTGTCTTACCAAAAGGATAAATTAAAACATCCAGGGTTTTCATCAATCTATAAACCAAAGCAGCATGTTCAGACAGCATCGAAATAAGATATTCCAGCATTTTTTCCCCCTTAGCTATGTTTCCATGGTACCAAGCTCAGACCGTCTTAACAGAAGGGGTGCTGTGATTCTGGCAGACATGGACTTTTTTGGGGGGAGGAGCATATCAATAAGTTGCCCTGCTTTCATTGTGCAATTTTTCAATTGTTTCCTTGATAATTAATTTCCAGCCTTAAATTTATCACACAAAAAGAATGGAAACAGCCACAAAAGTGATATAGTATGCAGTCAAGCTATCCTTCATAGCTGAGTTGATGGCAGAACTATATGCAAACACTAGAACTGTATATTTATACAACTATGCATACTTGTATATATGCCATTTATTTTATAATCAGAAATCATATTAATATYGGTACTTACATTTTAATTAATTATTAAACACTGGGACAGTGTTTTAAAGGACAAATGAGCCATAGAGTGTATATACCAACATTTTTCATGATTTTATGATTAGGAATATTTGTCTTGAGATTTTTATCTACATGGAAAAACAGTCGAATCTTAGACAGCCCATGTGCTAGACAGATGGCATTACTGATTGGGAAATATGGCTGTATTTCTCAATCTTACTTGTTGCTGGGAGAAATCAGAGGGCAAGCACATTGCTGACAGTCATTTGGCAATCCCTTGACAATGCCATAGTATCCAAGAGCACACCGTTCACAGAAATCACCAGTAGTGTGATGCTGACAATTCTGCAATAAAGGGAAAAGGATAAAACATTTATTTTTAATTAAATGAGAGTTAGAATGTAATTTATTGTACAGCTCCATCCCTATGAGTGTGTGTGTCTATGAACACACACAGACACACACACACACACACACACACACACACACAGAGTCTATCATTAATAGGAAACTCAGTTTTTGATATATTTTAAAGAAACTTTTATTTGAGAAACTAATACTATGCAATTTTAGCTAAACTAGTGATAAGTATTTCTTTTTTATTCCTACATCAATTTCTGTGTACATTTTTCTTTCACTCTAAATTGAGGTATGGAATCCCAAAAATCTCTAGAATTTATTTTATCACCTAGTCATTTAAATTTCTTAGTTTTTAGCTCTACAAGGTTCTGAAAAATTTATTAAAAATAATGGGACCTTGGCACATGCCCATCATTGGAATTTTGAAGCCAAAACAAGATAGAAAACCTAAATGTTTTAAGAGAGAACAAGGGAAAAAAAAGATCAGCTTTGTAACTGCATTTAAAAATGCTGTGACTAGAAAAAAATCTTTACCACATGCACCTCAGATAGAGCACAAGTCTCTAGAATATATAAATAACTCATAAAATTCAACAGCAAAAAACAAAAAAACTCAATCAATAAATGGTCTAAGGAAATGAACAGATACTTCACAGAAGAAATAAAATCAATCAACCAATATATAAAAAAAAAAATTCCACAACTCTAGCAATTAGAGAAATGCAAATCAAAACTAAGATTTTATTTCACTCTAGTCAGAATGTCAATTATCAAGAATACAAACAACAATAAGTGTTGGTGAGGATGTGGGGGGAAAGGTATAATCATACATTGCTGGTGGGACTGCAAATTGGTGCAGCCAATCTGGAAAGCAGTATGGAGATTCCTTGGAAAACTGGGAATGGAACCACCATTTGACCCAGATAATACAGTGATAATCTACATCAATATTTATAGCAGCTCAATTCACAATAACTAAACTTTGGAACCAACCCAGATGCCCTTCAGTAGACAAATGGATAAAGACATTGTGGTATATATATATGCTATATGCAACGAAATATGACTCACCCATAAAAAATAAAATTATGGCATTTGCTGGTAAAGGATGGAACTCGAGATTATCATGGTTAGTAAAATAAGCCAATCCCAAAACCAAAGGCCAAATGTTCTCTCTGATATGTGGATGCTAACACAAAATAAAATGTGTGGGAGAACTGAATTAGACAAAGGGGAATGAAGGAAAGAGAAGGGGGATGGGAATAGAAAAGACAGTAGAATAAATCAGACATAACTTTCCTAAGTTCATAAATGAATGCAAAACCAGTGAAACTTCATATCATGTACAACCACAAGAATGGGATCCTAAAAAAGAATAAAAAAAAAAAAAGAATGCTGCACTGGGCACAGTGGCACATTCCTGTATTTCCAGTGACTTGGGAGGCTAAGGCAGAAGGATTGCAAGTCCAAGGCCAGCCTCAGAAACTTAGCCAGGCCCTAAACAACTTAGTGAGACTCTGCCTCAAAGTAAAAAAAAAAAAAAAAAAAAAAAAAAAGGAAGAGTACTAGCCCAGAATGTGTGAGGCTCTGTGTTCAATCCCTAATATTAATTTTTTTCTTTTTAGTTGGGTTGTATGAATTGTAAAATAAAAAAGCTATTTGTCTGTTACTCATCAAACATGGTGGTTCTTTATAATAGAAATGATTCAATTTGAAACCAAGTACTTTAGGTCAAATA